GGAAATTTACTGTGGCACCAAAGGACCTTATCAAGAAAGGTCTCCTGGGAAGACCCATCGAGAAACATAAAAATGATCATCCCTTTGACCCAGTGATCTCAGCTCTGAAAGTAATGCCCAAGGGGACGGTTGAAAGAGGGGAGGGAAGCTACCTGGATAAAGATCAATGTTGGTTAAATGACACAAAAAGAGGCTTATAGCCACTTCATTCCTAGTAGTGAAATACTGCAGCCAGCCAACAACTAAGAAGTGTTTAACAACGATGTATATTAATCTGATGAACTATTAGGCAGCAATTTAAAATAACTGAGCTGGTTTCAAAATAATGTTAAATGAAAGGGAAAAAATAACCCAAATGGTATGTTCACATTGATTACACATCCCATAAAAACCTATGCAGATCATAATTGGAAGCAGAGATATAAAGCCTTCTCTTTTTAAGGTAAAGATAATTATTTTTGGAAAGAAGACAATAAATAAAACGTGTCCCCTACAAAGACAGCAGCACTGTTCTCAGACACCTTTTGACCTGGGAGGCCCAGCTGGGAGCAGGACCCATTCTTTTGTTTTCTGTTTTTCATAAGAAATCCTGAATGACCTTTACTGTACTCATATGTGTGGAAAGGAACCTCTGCAGGAACCACCCTCCATGGGACAGGGTGAGGGAGATTGAGGGATCAATTCTCTAAAGGTATCCCCCATATTCAAGTTCAAGGAAGTTTAATACTGATAATGATCAAATAGAAACAGAATACAAAGTACCCCAGGGAAAATGCTTAAAACCAGGCAAAACTGCTACCAAGCCAGTGAGCTTTCAAACTTAGGGAAAACGTGGCAGTTAGAAATGTAGTACATAAAGTTGTTGTTTAAATTGAGGGTGAAAAAGAAGTAATATTTCGAACCACTCTCATCATTAGACAAACACACATTTACTAGGCATGAATATACAATATAAACACAGCCCAGGATTAATTAAGAAACACAGTAACAGAAGATCAATACTAGGCCTGGGTGAGAGGTTTTCACTAAAACTACCTTAATTTATTTTGATTTTCCAGTTTTCCTATATCGCCTTTTCCCCTCCAACTCCACCTCATCCCTCACACATACTTTAAACATTAAGCTAGATGTCTACAACCTACACCAGCAAAAGGCTTCACCAAGCCAGCTCGCAAGGGCAGGTGGGAAGACCAGGGGAATTTCATTTTTGCTCATGGTTTTCAACAGGTCAATAAATTATTTTCAATTATCATCACTTACTTTAGCCATGTAGTTTTTTACAGGAACTGCTTGACATAAAACTTAGTTCAATTTACTGGCTGAAAAAGAAACTAAACACATATGGTGAGGCTACTCTATGTTGTATTAACTGTAAAGACCAGTACCCACCTCCATTCTAAATTCTACTGCTTCATCTGTATGTCACAACAGGGTTAGTTGAAAACCACCCCGTGGGCTGCACTATGGCTTTAAGAGGAAATAAATGATACCACAAGTCTTTGGCAAATGTATGGCTAAACACAGCAGAAATCTCATGTATATTGATTTCAAGTTTCTCCTTTGGGAATTTTGCAAGAAAACTGATTTATTTAGCCAATTCAAACAAACTGTATCAATACACAAAGGCTTGGAGAAAAGAAGAAAATGAAAACAAATAACTCAGAGCAATTTCTGATCCTAAACATTTCGCTTGCTCTGGTCATGAATCAGGTGTGGTCATGTTTTCTGACAAGAGGTTTCACCACTACTTGCTCCCAAGTTAAATACAGCCGTAAGAATATCCTGAATGCTTCATGTATGCCTGGAAGAGACTGTTTGTCAATCCTACAGTTACTACGGATGGGAGGATTATGTGCAGTCAGACCCTAGGGCATGTAAAATAGATCATTTAGAGCTGTGCTGTGCAGTACAGTAGTACCAGATGTGTCTTTTGAGCATCTGGAATGTCGTTAATATGACTAAGGAACTAAATTTTAAGTTTATTAATTTAAAACTTGGTACTTGATTCAGTTATTGACAAATTTTTAAACATGGTTAAGTATGTTTGGAACAACTTGGATATGTGAATCTTTTTCAAGTGTATATTTTATGAAATCTAAATACAGATAAAAGATCCACAGTAAAAATTTATGTAGATACATGGTGGATTTTGAAGACTTTGCATGAAAAGAAATGTAAAATATCTCATTAATAATTTTGGTATATTGATTAAATGTTGAAATATTTTGGATATACTGAATTAAAGTATACAATAAAACTAATTTCACTTTTTTAATGTGGTTCCTAGAAAATTGAAAATGACACAAATGGCTTACATATTTTCTCTTGGGCAGTGAGGTTTTAAGAGTGTGGATCTGAAGTCTAAGAACTCTAATGCCATCTGCTGGATACACTCCTACAAAACAGGTCCATGAGAAATGGTAAAACTAATTGTGGTTAAAACCTGAACTCTGGGTCTGAAATGGAAGAGAATGTAACAACTGGCTAGGCTCACAAAACACTCAACTAAATGTCTGCTGTTAAAAGGGTATTGGAAATAGGTTTATAGTCTTAGAAATCCTAGAGAAATTCTGACTTACAGTTATTAGTTGACAGTGATCATGAGTCAGTGATGCACAGGCTGCTCCGCCATCCACCCCTGCTGTTCTCGGCAACCAAGTTACCTGGTGGCCTCTTCCATGACCACTGGCTCCCTTACTCATTGGCTTGTTGCTGTCTGACTAGTTTTGCTGCTCCTTCTCCACAATTTTTCTTGAGTCCTTTTGCTCTCCCTTATATACATCCTCTTTCCATCTTTCTCATATTTGTCTATTGTTTTCCTTCTCCTTTTTCCTTCTGATTCTAGCATATCTAATAATTCTATTTTTTTAATATTGCAATTTTTCTCTTTATCTCCTTTTCTTTTGTCCTATAAGCTGCTTCAGTTAGTTTTGTAGTTTGAGTTCTCACATTTAGGTCCTTGATCCATTTTGAGTTGCCCTTATACATGGCATGACATATGGGTCCAAATTCATTATTTTGCCTGTAGATAGTCATCCCAGAATCATCTGTTGAAAAAACTATTCTTTCCCCACTGGATGGTCCTGGCACCAATACTGTCAAAAATCAATTGACCATCGATGTATGGGTTTATTTATGGACTCTCAGCTTCATTCCATTGATCAGCGTGTTTATTCTCTTGTTAGTACATTATTTTGATTCCTGTAGCTTTTTTTTTAGTGAAAAAGCAGTTTATTAGAAGAGATAGTACACTTTAAAGAAAGAGAAGTGGGCCTAAGCAGTAGAGAATGGCTCGAGGGCCCATTATTGGAAGAGAAATTACATTCCAAAGAGTTTGGAGCTGGCCACGTGCAAAGGTGAGGCTCAAAAGGCTCAGAAAGGGAGGAAGGGACTCAAAAAAAGGGAAGCCTGTAGTAAGTCTTGAAATCAGGAAGTGTGGGCCCTCCAACTTTGTACATTTTCAAGGTTGTTTTGGATATTAAGGGTCCCTTGCAATTCCATATGAATTTTAAAATCAGCTTGTCATTGTCTATAAAAAAGGAAGCCAGGTCAGCTGGTTTCAATGCATATTTGTTAAAAGAGGTATTTGCTGACAGAATGACCATTAATAGTTCTGAAAACTTTGCCCCAATATGGAGTTTAGGGGTTAAGCTCATGAGAATTTGGGATTGTCTAATACTGCTTGATATTGGGGCAACAAGACTGAGAGCAGAGGGTGCTAGAGAAAGCATTAAGTCTGGAGCAAACCTGAGTCTAAACAAACTGCAAGTCCCAGATCTGCCATTTAAATGCCACATGACCTCAGACAAGTTGTTGACCCTCTGTGCTCTAATTTACAATCTGTAATGAGAACAGAGGCACCCCCATCACCACCACTGTGCTGTGGGAACAGAAAACATGCTCATCACAGAGCCATGAGGAGGGTGGGCTCCTTGGGGCACTTGGAGGGGCTGCTTTAGCACATTCTTACAGGACTCACTGGACTGGGAGGCAGCCACGAGCCCTGTGGGCCTAATGGCCAATTCCTACTGCTTGTCTGCAGCTGTACAGAGGACACTGAGGTGTAGCAGCCCTCAGAGGACAAGGGCGGTACTCAGGCACAGGTAGTCTTTCTGGAGCCCTGACCACTCACCTGTTGTTAGCAAAGATGAAGGGACCTATCTGCCCCTTATTCCAGCCCAAATCTATCCCAATCAGGTTTCTGAAGTGATATGGCTCCCGGGAGTCAGTGAGGGCCTAGAGTGGGAGCCACAGAGCCAGGTCAAGCTGACAAACTAACCCTTCCAGCTAAGGAGCATCTCGCTTTCTCACCAGGCCCAACAGCTCCCACATGTGCCCATCATTCAACACACACTGAAAGCAGTGATGATAATCGTCACTTAGGATGGGATGACAATAAAAGACAGCGACTTCAACTTCTACCTTTCTGGATTATAAAGTTCTCCTCTCTGGTCTTCCTTATTGTTTCCATGTTATTGCTTAAGAGTCCACCAGTTTCAGGGTCCGCTCGGAGACTAGATTACTTTGCCTCCCACAGAGTGTCCCCTCATTTGTCACTGTGTGATCGGCAAAAGTCCCTCCTGATAGATGCTCCCTCAACTGATGCGGAAGCTGAATCCTTGGAAAAAAGGTATCTACATGCTATTATTTGCAGAAGGAAAGGAACGGAGTCCTTAAATCTGAGTGAGTCATGGGAGTGGGTATGAAAAAAAACAGCATTACAAGTTCCTCGACATCAAACATTACAGAACATTTCTACTCCATCACGGCTTACACGTAAGTCCAGACGAATATGTCTCCACACCAATTAGAAAGAAACCAACGGCCAAGTGGCCACAGATATCCCACAGTACCATTCACTTTCTTCCTTGCTGACAAATCCAACCTGTGTCTTCTAGGGAAAGGACAGGAAGAAAAAGTTACAATTCAGTCCCTAAAGTTATCTTCCCCACTCTGGGAGACGCAGGCACCATCAACAGTACGGGCCCAAGTCAAAATGTTTTTTAAGTTCATGTCACTTGTTTATAATATGATATCATGTCATCCAGCGTTTCGAAAGTGACCGTGGGGGCTTGTGGTGAGTTGCTGGGGGCAGGCGTGGATGGTGTATGTGAACAGCTGGGGTCAGGGCTCTGGCCAGGGTACTGGTCTGGGTCATCCTGTGCAGGTTCAGGTCTGCTCCACGTCTGGCTACGGAAGGAACCAGTTCTCTTTTGACTCACAAAGTAATCCGATGGTGGGGCAAACTCGGGCTCTCTCTCAGCCCGAAGAGCTGACTGCCTCTTCGACCAGTACCCAAAGGAAAATTCTAGTAAAAATAAGAAAGAGTATTAGAACTGACTACTGAATCAGTTGAATTTTTATTATTACTTTTCGGTTATTGTATGTATTTCTTAAAAGCCACCTCACATTCTCGGGAGAACAAGGACAGCAATAACAAAGCCGTAATATAAGGCACAGGTAATGCCTCCAGGGGTATAAGGAACCAGGCTAAAGGTATGAGTAAGTCCAGAAAGGCAAAGGTTCGAGGAAGGCTCTGTGGAGGAGGCGGGAAGGCTCTGGAGACATTGCCAAAAAGGCATTAAAATTACATCTGAGAGGAAACTAAAGAAAAATGAACAATCAAGTCACTGGCTTGACACGATGCTGTAGGTCTTCAGAGCAAACACAGATGTTGTCCTTTGAGTTTTAGAAGACACAAGGAACCTGTCCAAACCTAAGCTGGCATTTCATTTCTATTTCTAACAGCCACACTTACCAAAGGCACTCACCTATTTGCATATCTTTTACTTTAGTTTTGGATCTCATCAGCTCATACAGCATGAGCTAATATAATATTGACACAATTTCTTTCAAAAAGGCATAAAACATAAGCCTTCTTCCACAGAGAGGCTGCTGTGGGCACCACAGAGTACTTACAGAAATTATTTTCAGAAAATTTTGTATAACCCAACGGAACCATATGTGATCCAGGTAAACACAATGACACGCAGACCATTTCAACTGAACATAAAAGAGGCTGATAAAAACACAGAATACATTAAAATACGAAACCTTCCTAAGATTTTAAAGCGGTTCCTGAGAAATGGCCTTCCAAAGCTGCAATACCACATGAGGGCAGCACGAATTTCAGAAAACCTCCCCCAAGTGCTTCTTAAAAAAAATATAAAGAAACAAACTCGTCCCTCCAACACCATGCCTTGTGAGCCCTGGTCTTTGATAATCACCCTTCCTAGTGCTCCTGTTTATAAACAGCTACTGGTCTGGGTACTGGGAAGAAAGAAGTTCAAGGATGTGAAAAATTCCTTAACCCTCAAAGGAACACTAAGAGTCATCAGAATCATTCGGATCAGGAGAACCAGGAAAATCTTGCAGGGCCCCTTGCTGGGCCCTTTTACACCTTGGACCCCCCCGCCCCCATGCCACCCTACCTTTTCCTCTGTCCCACTCCCGGACATATGGCACTCCAGGCCTGGTGTCCTTCCGCTCCTGAATGATGACCTCGACTTTGCTGCTCTGGACAGCAACGTGTGGAGTTGGCACAGCCTCTGGTTCTGGTGGCAAAGGCCCAATAACATCTCCATCTATTTTTTGCAAAAGAATAAGACTTCATTATAATAAAATTTAAAGCCACCTTAAAAAAAAGTTTTTTAAATAGAATATGCTAATCCCTAAGAGTAGAATAATCAGTATTTTCTAAGCACCTATTATGTCCCAGGCAGTGGGCTAAGCACTTTATATACAATAGCTCATTTAATTCTGTAACAACCCAAATAAGGTCAGTATTGGTATACTCGTTTTATAGATGAGGAAAATTAAGCTCAGAAACGCTGCACAGGTAGGGAGTGACAAGAGTCAGGGTTCAAACTCACATTGGATGGATTTCAAAGTCTCTGTGTTTCCCAGGCCAATAGTTGAAGGACCAGAAATCCTCCAGTTACTCAACTAAAATAAGAGTCTCAGACAAAGCAAGGGAACTTAGGATGGCAACAAGTTGTAGGCTATTCAATTTTGGCCATACTTTAAAAGGAAATGGATTTTTTAAAACACTGTGGTGGAAAATGACAGGTGTTCAGGAATAGAGTAAAAATAAAGAAACAATGTGCAAAGCCTAACATGTTACAGGGAGAGTGTTTATATGAAACTAAACTGATGACTTTCCAATTCATAAATGTTTCTGGTCTCTGTTCAAAGCTGAATTGAAATTGTGTTCATATTTAGAAAATGGCCCATGGCTTAGCACAAGGCTTCTGTGAGGGCTGGAGTGGCTTCAATATGCCCCCAACACCCACACTCTCCTTCCTTTTGGGACCAGAATGCTCCCCAGTTTCAGTTGGATACATGGCACCTCATTAGAGATGCCATTTCCCTGCCATCCCTGCATCCGGGGGTGGCCCACATGGGCTTTGTTTTGGCCAGTGGGATGTGAACACACGGGCTGTGTGTGACTTCTGACTCACATTCCTAAAAAGAAAGCTGGTTCCCCTCCCATCTTCTCCCCTTCCCCAGTACCGGATCATGAACAAGCCCTGGGGAGCAAGCTCTGACCGTGCAGGTGAAAGCAACATTCTAGGGAATGGCAGAAACGGCAAGACAAGAGGAAGCTGGGGACTGGGTGGCCATCTGGGGCAGAGCTACTACTACCTGTCTGGACACCCACCGCCTCTGAAGTGTTAAAAGGAAAAGCAGACCTCCCTCGTTTGAGGCAGTCTATGTGGAGGTCTCTTTGTCATGGCAATTTAGCCCAGACCAGCACAGCTCATATAATGAGCTAGTCTGACTACAACACTTAACAATGTTTCCAAGTGTTTTAACCGTCCTTTGGTAAGATGTCCATATCATATTTGTAAATTCTTTATTATCTGACTCTGTGAATGCATTTCTTCTTTAAAATAAATTAATATATAATAACCAACAAAAACTGTAGCCAACCAAAAAAATTAGGTATAAAACATGTATGTACACAACTAAACTAAGTCTCAGCTACTAAACCGTTCTATTCTATGAAGTAACACAATGCACTGTTAATTACCTGATCTATAACCTAAAAATATTCCTTGGAGTATCATTCCGCATCACTTTGATTGTAAAAACTGTTCCTGGCAGTACCACAAAGGTGCTTGCTTAGAGAATAAAACTAAATGGCTAACTTCCGTACTGCCAGTCCTATCACTGAGACATCAATGGAACTAAAATCTTTCCTTTTGAAGTTTAGAAACATGAGTCGTGACATACCTCTCTTTCCTTCTTCTGTTCCATCTTCTTTTGATGTTTTCATCTTTTTTTGTCGGAGTTTGGAAAGTCTAGCTTCTAACATAGCCTTTCGCTTTTCCTTTATGTTTTCTCGTTTTGTTCTCTGATCTGTTGTCTGAAGAGAACAGAAAATTAGAAATTTGCTTTGAGCCAAATTCATATTTCTGTTTAAAAGATTGAAATAATTAATTTTATTTCTAAAAATAGACTAATTGATTTTCATGCCACCTCTAAGACACTATCCTTGAGATCTTCAAAATGAAGACCCATGAAATACTCTTACACAGCCCTCTGATGTTTTCTGATGTCCAGTAAGAGTTCACAGAGCATCCTGGAAGGCTTAACACTTAAGAAAACCAGCCAATTCTGTACTACTCCTTAATCCCTTAAACAACTTTCTATTTTGTCCCTCAGACCACTCCAAAAGTATTATACTACAGTTGAAACCAAACTTAAGACATCAATGTCATACAGGTTACTTCTGAGCAGCTATAATCTTCAAGTTTGAAGCACCAAAATAATATGGCAATTACCTTTATGAAACCTATAAGTGCATTCTGAATATCAATTTAAATTTCTAATTAATTTACTAGATTTTTTTGCAGTATAGTCCAACGAGAAACCAACTGCTCAAATCCTTCTTAACATAAACTCTGGATTTAATGTGTACCTGTTCACGTAGCATCTCTAAAGTCTTCATTTGTTGGTTTCTTAACTCTTTATCTCGGGCAAAGGCAAAATATCCAACACCAAGTTGCCTGGCCTCTGAAATAAGTCAAAATTATCCAAAAGGTTACAGATTTCCCTGATCGGTAAATTACACTGAGGCCAAATATCCCACATAAAACTTGGCAAAGAGAAACAGTGATATTTGTCACAGTTGTCACAGTTTTTTTTGTGTGTGTTTTTTTTTAAGGCACCTAAGCAAAAAAGCAAGTTAGAAATAGTTTTCATCCTGTTTGCCAAGTGATAAACAACAAAAACTCATTAATTTTTAGTCATAGGCTGTCTCCACTTCTCTTGGGGAACAAACTCTTAGATTAATAGACCCTCTGTTAGGAAGATATTCCCAATATGAGTCCTTTTTAGGCTATGAAGCAGACAAAGGGGATATTTTCAATTTCCAAAGCAGAATCTTTTATTTCTATGTAAGAACTGCTGCTTTATGAATACTTCCCTTTATGCTTGCCATTAGTTCAACATAAAAAAATTATTTAAAAGCTGCAAAATGATTATACCATTTTCACGAATGTCTTCATAATGTAAGGGCCCCATTGGCCTTTTCAGGGCCTCCCTTTCTTCTTCCTCCCATTGCTGGCGCTGAAGTTCTTTTCTCATATCTTCAGACAGTAAGGTTTTTTCATTAGCAGGACTAACAAAACTGGTAGGAGAATAGAGCAAAAACTATCTTTAGATAAGACTGTGAGACAGAAATGCTTCAGTTCAGTCAGTTGGATCATGGATAAGTAACTCCAGTTGATAAATTAGACAGTTCCTTACAGAGGTCTCTGATCCACCATACTACTGGGAAATCACAAAAAAATATTTTCACCTTTTTTAAATCAAGCAGCTAACTTATTACATTAGCATAATGGAATCTACCCCACACTCAAGGCAAACCACTTTCCTTCCCACCCTGGTCCTGGGGTGAATAGAGGGAGGCAGCCCAGGCAGGGAGCAAGTGCAGGCCTTCTTTGGATCAGCCTTTGTGCAGGCCAAGAAAGCTGCCTATCGCTGGGGCCCAGCCAGTGCCATGTGTCCTGTCAGATGGCTTGGGGCTTCTGCACCTCTTCCTTTGTGCCAAACACAGGCCCACCTGAACCTGGAGGACTTGGACAAGGTGGACCTTCTCCCAACACCTTCCACACGAAAGCTGCTCTTGGTGAGGGGAATTTTACTCCCTGGGATCTTAGCAAGTTATCTTTTAGGTATGTTTTAGGCCCTACAGGAAAAATATCTAACTAGAAGGCCCTTACTTCAAAATGCACAGATGTATAAAGAAAAAGTAAGTAAGGTAACTACCTGCCTACCTTTACTTGCTGTGGGATAGCCAAGTGTATATTCTTAAACACCTTTCTCCATAGGTTTGTTGGTTGCTTTAGATTAGGCTTATTCTATATTTGTTACTCTAATTAGACATCCTTCCAATTATAGGCATACCTTGTTTTATTACACTCCACTTTACTGTACTTTGCAGATATTCGGGGGTTTTTTTTGTTGTTGTTGTTTTGTTTTTTTTAACAAATTGAAGGTTTGTGGCAACCAGTCTACTGCTGTCATTTTTCCAACAGGCTCAGATAATGGTTGGCATTATTTTTAGCAATAAGTATTTTTTAATTAAGGTATGTACATTGCTTTTTGTAGACATAATGCTATTATTACATGCTTACTAGACTACAATATAGTGTAAGTATAACTTCTATATGCACTGGGAAACCATAAAATTCGTGTGACTCGCTTTCTTGTGCTATTTGCTTTATGGCGGTGGCCTGGAAATGAACTCACAGCATCTCTGTGGTGTGCCTGTAAATAGACAGAGCTCTACCCCATCCTTTAGTAGCTACACAATATGGACCATCCATTCAGGTTGTTCCCTGAGCGTGGATTATGTGAAAAAGTGCGTCAGCAAATATTCCTATACATTAAAAAAAGATCTCCTTACTGAAGCACCAAAGATAATTAACACTTTGTAAGCGGGCATTTTTCTCTATACCTGAGTTAACTCGTCTCCCGCGCTTTGGTATAAAAAGCGCTATGACGAGTTTACTCGTTTCCCGCAAACAATGTGTTAACTAAGAACAGCCTCACCCACAAAACTATCCCTGTGTCTGCATTTCAGACCCGGGCAAAGCTTTCCATACCACACACTTACAGTCTCCCCTGAAGATTTTTATCCATCTCCAGCAGATGTGGTAAATCCTTTTTCATGCAGCGCCGGGATCGCCCTAAAGAATCCACGTAATCCACCCTGAAATAAAAGTGAAAAGATGTGAAGAAGGCTTCATACATGACATATGGTTCCCTAAGTTAGGGAGTTGGCGCACAGTAAAACAATTAATATAGGCCTCACTACCCAAAAACCCTTCAACCTGAGAGACCACTGATAAGAACATGCTTGTTAAGTTAAAAGTTGACACACAATGGGCCGGCCGAGTGGTGCGTTGGTTAAGAGTTGGCATGGGAGTGCCAGCTCTGAACAGCAGGGCCCCGGTCTGGATTCCACATGAGGGCCAGTGACACTGCCCTCTACAGCTAAGATGGTGAACAACAGCTCGACCTAGGGCTGGGCTGCTGTGAGTCGCCGGTGACGGCATAGGCTGCAATGGGGCTGCAGTGGGCTGCCGTGAGTGGCTGGCAGCTGGCATGAGTGCCAGAAGTTGGCATGAGTTGCCGTGAGCCGCCGTCCAATGGCGGGTGTGTGACTGCCTCACCCGGAAAGAGTGCAATGATAATACCAACATTGGCCAGTGAAGCAACGTCCTCCACAACTAGACTGAAGAACAAAACGACAGCAACTTGTCTGTTCCCCTCCCCCAATTCCCCAATTAAAAAAAAAAAGTTAACACAATACATTGTGCCCTTTATTAAATCTGTTTTAGAAACTGTAGAAAATGATTGATCATGTGCATTTCTGATTTCAAAGATAAATACCTGTACAGACATTTGCTGCAACATCTCAGAATTTACTTTAATCTGGTTTAGACAATTCCAAATATTTTATCAGCATCATATAACTTTGCTTTGGACCAGACTCTCCACTAATTTCCTCAGTCTTCCCAAATCTGACTTTTTATTTTTTCCTTTATTTCTTCTAATTGGTAAAATTCTTCCCAATGAATTAGAAATTTATTTCTTAATATAAGTCATGGTATTTGGGGGACTCTTTTTAACTAGGAGGAAGCCAAGCAACACACTTTTTGTAAAACAAAAGCACCTCATTAGCAAGCCAGCCAGCTATCTTTTAGCCTTAGTTCCTTTTTCCTAATCTTGCCCAAACTAGTTAGAGGAGTCAGGCAGACAGCAAGGCAAATGAAATACTTTGATGTCTCACAACAGGAAATATGGGCAGATTTTCATAGAAAACATTTCATTTGTATTATGATGCAAAAGATTTTTTTAAATTTGTTAAATTACGGGCAGGGAATTTCACATAGCCTTTAGTAGGGTGCTAAAAACATAGAAAGGGACCAGTACTGGTGGTGGACCAACGCAAAGTCAGGGTCCCATGCACATATATGGCTGTGCTCTTATGGCAATTTCTTCCCTCTCACACACGCTGATGCCAACTTCAGCCCATGATGTAAAACCTGAATGGGAATCCACTGCTATAGTACTGAAGCTGATTACCACAAGAAAGAAAACCTCCAACTCAAGAAAGCAGGTTCCTTCTTTTTCTTCTTCATTTTTTAATGAATGGAGAAAGAAAACCATCTATCCAGATGGTCTGCGTAATTATTTACAGTATTTTTGCAGAAAGATTTTCCACCACCTGGACTTTTTACAAGCCATTACAATTCTAGAGCCTAATCTAAAAACAAAAAAAAGTGTCAGAACTGCTTGCAGTGTGTCTTCTTTCACCATATGGAGGCATGTGACACCTTCAATTGCCCTCCAAACTCTTCAAATCACAACAAATTGCTTGTAATCACAAAGCATTAATAAGAAAAAAAGACATTAATCCTTTCAAAGGAGATGAGATTTCTGCTATGAAAAGCAATCACAGGCTATTCTGTTTCTAGAGGCCTCCAAAACATACAGATCCCATCAAAATAGAAATGGAAAGACATTAGTCAGCAACTGCTCTATGTAATCAGCAATCACTGAGCAAGCACTCTGAGAAACAATTACCTGAGGTACCAGAGTAACATAAGAGAGGGCTCAGTCATGCCATCTTCAAAGGGCTCTGGGGGAAGTTAAGGCACACGCCCATGAAATGCTTACTAACAGCAGGCAGAATATTAAAGGTACCAAAAGTTTGCCTCAAATCTCTGTTAATGAGGCCAGTTATGTGTCAATAATAAAGAAAAGGTAAGACCCAAAGGAGCAGGAAGTGCTACTTAAAAGAGTTCAGAGAAGGGAGACGTCACTTACAATGAAGCGGCATTCACAGAAGAGACTGAACTCTATGTGCTTCTCTTTTACTGGGTTGTCGGAAAAGTCATGACGTATTTTTTTCTCTGTTTTCATTGCAAAAATGCATCATGACTTTTCCAACAACCCAATAGTTTCCTATAGCAAACATGCAGCCAGATAACCTACTCCAAATATATGTTTCTAGAAGGTCGGTAAGAAGACACCTGTCCTATCCCAAGGCGAATGTTTTATCTGGACCAACGTGGACACCCTCAGGAGTAAGAAGATGCACATCCTCTGCGCTCCACAGTAGCTGGGTCTGCGCTCTGCAGCTCATATGGATTCCTGCCCAAAGGGCCCAAGGCTGAACTAAGTCAACAAATGCTGTAAACAATCCTAAGCAGTTCCTGACAAAGACCCCATGAGGAGGAGGATATTTGAACCTTGAAAGGAAGACAGGTGGGCCCTGCACAGGCAGGAGGGTGGGCAGGCAGTTACTCCTAGGACATTTTTGTAGCATCAGATTCTAAACAACAATCTCTTAAGTACAGGAAATCGTTAGAATGGAATTTGTATTCTGGTCTCTTTACATATTGACACATTGGTCTCTTTGTAAGGAAAGACTAGTTTGATTTCCCCATCAACCACTTACACGTAGGTAAAATTCAGAATAATCTCAGTAATAAAGATTTACAAAATGTCTGCTTATATTCCACAGATGGCAGTTTCTTGGGTATCCTAGAATACTCTTATTTCCTGTAGGGAGTTTAAGGCAAACAATCAGAGGAGGTAAGCACTGCCATCCCTGCCTTATATAGGTGAAGAAACTGAGCCTGAGAGGTGAGGAGCCTGATCAAGGTCACATCACTGCCAGGGAAAGTTGGAACTAGTGCTGTCCAGGTTCGAGGTCTTTGATGCCTATCCTATACTGCCAGAAAATGTCACAGCCAAAGTGAGGCTTACTGGAAACAGAGACCGCCAGCTACCTAGACAACGCCTCTCCATGACATCTGAATAAAGACATGGGTGAGGCAGCAGCCCAGGTAACAAAGGAACACTCTTCTGCTTCAACAACTCTTTTACATCAATGTAACAGGTGTATCAATGCCTCCTGAGCCTGGCACAGTGCTTGGCACATGGCAAGAGCTCAGTCTTTATCTGTAATTATTTTTTCACTGACGCTGTTTTTAAATCTGTAAATCAAATCTTAAAGTGGAATCAAAAGAAAAAAAAACTGAGGAAGAATATGGAGAAATGGTTTGATAACAACCAAACAAAATCATTCACAAAAAGTAAACGCAAGTCTAACAATGTTAATATGATCAAATCATGTAATATCACCAACCATTCTTCACTGGGGTCCTGGGGAGGAGGTATATCTTTTTCAGAAAGATTTTCTTCATCATCGTCTCTTTCTCCTGCCTTTATAGAATCTCTACTGGCACCAAACGCCTCCATTTCTTTGTGTTTGTCTATGATCTTCTGTGTGAAATCCACAAGGTACATATCCTCCACTTCTTCATCTAGGACATAAAAACCCATTGTCAGAGTCTTGACATCAAAGAAGAAAACCAAGCATGGAATTGATACGAAGCAGTCACATTTGTCGCTGGGTGGCTCCATGCCCCTAACAGTTCACCCTCTGGAACTCTCACAAAGACACAGAGCCACCTGGGGACCCAACAGGGAAGCTGTAAATAGGCCGTTGGAAACACACTCCGTGCAAACATTCTTTAAAAAGCCTAGTTTTCTGCTGCCTTGTTGAATACACTGAGTAAGCAATACTGTCTCAGAATGTAATTTTAATAAAACAAAAAAATTTGATTTCAAGAGACTCATACAGCCAATGATGTAAACAAAAGCAGAATTACATTTCTCATGTCATCAGAACGGATAATAGACCTTTGTTGTTGTAGATAATACACGTCTCTAATCAGATAGACTATACCGCTTAATCCTAATTATATTACTGTGGTATAGTAAGTGTTTTAAGAGTAATAATGTAGGTAAAAGAAATTATTTGAATTCTTTTCAATCCAATGAACAGCACTTTCAGGCAAGACGGTGCCAGGATCTGGAAGACATACAGAGATGTGTAAGATGCTATCTGCCTTCAGGGCTTGTGATCTATTTAAGCTAAAACATAGCAATCCGTGACTTTAATTTAATTCAACCCAGTATACCTGATGTGTTTGCAAATAATGTTTACATGAAGTTTCACTATGCATGATTTAAGATACAGTCTTGAGTCTTTTTCTCGAAAATGGAACAGATATTAGGTTCCCTATTAACGGGTGCTGGTGTTACTCCACTGTACAGTGGAGAATAACTGAATCTCCAAGACGTAACTGTGCCAAACATGCAAGATCGGTATGCCTGTCTAGAGGTGGGCCTGTGGTTTGGACAGAACCAAATCGCCATGTCTACAGGCAAACTCCTTTGGCTCTCATTTCCATATTAACAAGGCAAGTAGAGTTTGAATTTCTTTTTTAATAAAGTCTTTCCCAAACAATAAATTTTTTTTTTAAGTCACAAAATGTCTCAGATGAGAAAGAGATGTACTTTACCAGAGCTGAGTTATAAGCCCACATAATAGTGAGGCCTCCTGGTTGATGGCCACCCTGCTGCTTCTTCAGAAGGAAGGCAAAGCCTCTCCCCGGCCCCTAGCTTTGAGAGAACCTCATCTTCCCAAGCTGGGCTCCCTGCCATGCAGGGAACGCATTCCTGCTGTCTGAGAAGAGGGAGCTAGGTTTGGTGGGCAGCCCGTGACTGGGGTCCAGCCTGCCTCTCTCCTGCTGTCCCCTTCCCCAGCCCCTTGGGCCCAGCCACACTAGTCTGCCCTGCCAACTCTAGCCTTCTTCTCCCGCTGCTGATCTACTCTCACCACTCTCCCGCTGCAGAATCTGTTTCTCCAGCTCTCCAAAGCCTTGAAGACTCATATCAGAGACGTCTTCTCCCTAAAGACTTCCATGTATGCCTTTGGGCAATGAAATATGCACTGCTTTGTAAAAGCTCTCCTACTATTGTTTAACTATAGGATGGGTTTTCTTTTTCTGGGGGGTATGGGAATCTTTATTATTTTAAAAGCAATTATAAGCACATCACAGAAATAATAGAAAATAGAGAAAAATACAGAAAATAGCAAACTTAACTCTAGCACCCTGATATACCCATAATTCCTCCCAGTTTTTTTAACTAGCTGTAATTGTTCACAATTGTGGCCAATTTAGACCTTGTTTACTAACTTTGCTTTGTTCTATGACATTTCCCTCCACTGCTGACATGTCCCCTTGAGGGCAGAGGCCGAGGATCTAGCTTATATTGTGCTTGCTTATCCCTCTCACAGCAACTAATATGTGCCTAGCGCCCACTGGGCAACTGGAAAATTATTGCTGATTTTCTTGTCTCTGGCACAGAAAATAATCAACTTGATTTTTAAAATTTCTCCCTATTCTTACAGTTATTAATGAATGAAATACAATAGGGCTGTATAAATTACAGAAAATAAAGTACAAATAAATTATTATTTACCTAAAAAGTCTCCTTTAGTCATTTTTTCATATAACTTGGCTTTTTCTTCCAATTTCTCCCTAGGAGAAAACAAGACAAGCGTTACAAATATCTTATAACTGCCACCTCTGGAAAGGCTGCCACACCGTTGGCCTCACAGCTACAGTCTGCTCAAGAGGTCCAGCCTTATGACCAGGCGGCCATAACCAAAGCTGACTTCCCTCCAATGAGGGGACCCTCAGTCCAGCCACATCTGCTTTGCCATCGAAATGTAAGCCCATGTTTCTCTTATTCATAACTGTGTCCCAGTGCCTAAAACAATACCTGGCGCATAATAGGTGCTCAATCAGTATTTGATGAATAAATGAATAAATTAAGATTCTAACTTAGTTTAAATGCCAAATGCAACTTAAATATTACAAAGAGAGATATCAAAACAAAAAACATTTTCTATTTTCTACCTTCCAAGTACAATAGATCACCAAACCCTTTGCATTACTGTTTTCATACAAGGGCCCTGGTCACCCACAGCTTACCAGGTTTCTCTAAAGGAGCTACAGACCAACTTCTTACAAGTCTGTTAAAAAGGTGGTAATATGTGTTTTATACAAAACATGAATAACTTATTCATGACACACAGCTAACAAAAAACAAACACCAACCCTAATATTTCAATACAGCAGCCTCTCTGCTCACATTAATTCTAGTGACATTTAATTTTAGTGGGCACAGACCAGGGAAGATGGTTGACAATTCTTTATTCTAGCAATACTTTATTCTAGAAATGACGGGAAAGAGCCCCAAAGAGGTCATATGAGCTTTCACTTGTAAAGGATCATACTTAATAATAATGGAAAATTTCATTTCTAATGGCATCCTGAGGCAATAAAGTCCCTTGGTCACATGGCTATGTGCCCTGGAACAAGTTACTTAACCTCTCTTGTACCTCAATTCCCACCTCATAATACACGGAAAACACAGCACTCTCTCTTAGGGTTGCAATGAAAATTAGATAACACTTGTAAAGCATCAGTGTGTCATCTTTATCTTCATCATCTATAGCAGAGGGATTCCTCTTTCATTTTACACTCTCATTCAGCAAGTACTGACTACATGCCTCCTCTATGCCAAACACTGTTTTAGGTGCTGAGGACTCAGCAGTAAACAAGGCAGTCCCAGCTCCCATGGAGTTTACATTCTAGAGGGGGAGAAAAACAATAAATAAATCAATGAAAGAGAATTTCAAACAGTAACAAGTGCTGTGGTGGGAAGGAAACAAAAGCAGGTTTCACCAATGGAGGCCCTTTGTCATGCATTGAGTGCTCTGTGAATCAGCTCAGTCTTATCAACTTGTAAGAGGTTAAGTTGCTCTATTTTGGAGGGGGCTTAATGTAACAAGCTGTATCATCACAGAATCTTACCGTCTTAGTGAAAATAAAACTTTAAAAAATTTTAAAAACAAAACACTGTCAGGGCAGAGTAACTGGGCAGAACACTACATCAGATAGGGCAGTCAGGGGAAACCTTTCTGAAGGCAGCATTTGAGCTAAGGCTTGTAGAGCAAGAAGAAGCCAATCACGGGAGGACCTGTGGGGAGAAAGCAAGTCAGGGAGAGGAAAGATGAAGTGGGAATGAGCTTGACATGATCAAGGAGAGACCAGTGTGGTCGAGGGTACTGAGAAAGGGGAGAGGGACACAAAATAAAGACGGATAGACGGGCAGGGACACGCATGGAAAAGGATAAGAAGTCTAAATGCAGTGTTAACAGAAAGAAGGCAGTTTTAAGAAAATACAAATGTATAATGGAGATCATGGGAGATGTAAGAGAAATGGCCACTGGATTCAGCAGATGAGGAAGTCACTGGTGACTTAAAGAATAATTTCTTTAGTCTTGAGTAAGGAAGATGGAATTCAGAGGGCAAGAGTATGGGACACTTATCTGGAACCCACTGTGTACCAGATACTATGTATCTCCTTTAATTCCCTAAAGGGCTTCATGAACTAAGCACTAACCACCTCCCTTCATTGATAAAGAAAGAGTCTTAATGGATAAGTAACTTGCTGAAGGCCTTACACCCTCATGAACTGTCTCAGTCTGTACTGAGCTTTGGCAAGATGCAGAAGTCCTGCAGATCATGAACAGACTTGACTCCTCACAAGCACAGTGAAACCAAAGTAGTGCTAGATTGAAAAATCACAGCAAAGTACCAAGGAGAAAACTGTTATACAGAGTAAACAATAAAAGAGTATGTCCATAGATAACATCATACTCAGTGGTGAAAAGCTAAAAGTTTTCCTCTGAAATCAAGAACAAGACAAGGATACCCACTCTTGCCACTTTTATTCAACATAGTATTGGAAGTCCTAGCCAGAGTAATAGACAAGAAAAGAAATAAAAGGCATCCAAATAAAAAAGAAGTAAAACTGTCACTATTTGCAGATGACATGATATATGAGGTGTGATGAAACAATATGGTGACTGTTTAAATAAAAAATTTATTACAGTAGACACATTGCCATTACTCCCCTCCTCAGGCCAGCCGAGTGGCGCGTTGGTTAGGAGTTGGCTTGGGATGCCAGCTCTGAGCAGCAGGGCCCGGGTTCGGATCCCATATTAGAGCCAGTGACGCTGTGCCCTCCACAGCTAAGATGGTGAACAACAGCTCGACCTGGAGCTGGGCTGCCATGAGGCGACGGCGTAGGCTGCAGTGGAGCTGCAGTGGGCTGCTGTAAAGCTACCGTGAGTGGCTGGCAGCCAGCGTGAGTGGCCAGCAGCTGGCGTGAGCTGCGAAGAGCCACCATGAACGGCTGTCCAGGGCCCGGTGACCGATCTGTCTCACCCGGGAAGAGCGCAATAATACCAACATGGGCCAGTGAAGCGACGCTCTCCACAACTAGACTGAAGAAGAAAAGGATAGCAACTTGTCTGTTCCCCTTCCCCAATTCCCCAATGCTGCTCTCCTCCCCCAATTCCCCAATAAAAAATCTAAAATAATAATAATAATAATCCCCCCCACTTAAAACACACTTATCCTGTCATTCTTGCCACTTTCTGAAGTAGTTCTAAAAGTCCTCTTTCATGAGTGTCTTTAGTTGCACTGTTGTGGCTGCCTTGATGTCCTTAATCAATTCAAAACTTTTACCTTTCATGGTCATTTTGACTTTGGAGAACAGACACACCGTAATGGTTTATTTAATAGAAATTGCTGTACCAGAAGTGATGTGTGACCCGGAGCCTTTCCATTGTGATCACAAAATACGGTGAATGCTGCTGTCAAGTGCCATCCAACAGAAAGGTAGGGATCTTCAATATGGGAAGTGGCACACTGAACCTTAGTAACAGTGTATGACAAGTTTCAATTTGTTCAGTGCAGTCAGTTGGATGTGAGCTATGGTTGAGAGAAGGTGTGTTTTAAAGTGTGCCGTAAATAGTCCTCCATCATGACAACTCTCCGTGTCACACATCGCTTCTGGTAATGGCAATTTTTGTCAAATAAAAACATTACGGTGTGTCCTCATCTACCTTAATCACTGGATCTGGCACCGTGTGACTTCTGGCTCCTCCCCAAAGTCAAAACGATTCAGGACATCATGGCAGCCACAACAGCACAACTAAAGACACTCACGAAAGAAGTCTTCCAGAACTGCTTCTGAAAGTGGCAAGGACAATGGGGTAAGTGTGTTCAAAGTGAGGGGGAGTATTTTGAGGGGGATTAATGGCAATCTGTCTTTTATTGTAATAAATTCATTTTAAACACTCACCATATTGTTTGATCATACTTCATATATAGAAAACTCTAAAGACTCCACCAAAAAATTGTTAGAATAAACAAATTCAGTAAAATTACAAGATATAAAGTCAATACACAAAAATCTTACATTTCTATACACTAATAACAAACTATCAGAAAGAGAAGTTAAGAACAGTCCCATTTACAATTGTATTAAAAAGAGTGAAATACCTGGGCATAACCTTTAAACAGGTAAAAAACCTATGCACTAAAAACTATAAGACAATGAAAGAAATGAAAAAAGACACAAATAAGTGAAAAAACATTCTATGCTCATGGATTAGAAGAATTAATATTGTTAAAATGTCCATACGACCCAAAGCAATCTAAAGATTCAATGCAAACCATGTTAAAATTCCAATGGCATTTTTCACAGAAAGAAAACAATCAATCAATGGCATAAGAGACAACAAAAAGGTAAGGGAATTATTCTAAATTAAAAGAAACTAAAGAGATATGACAACTAAATGCAGTGTATAATCTGACTGAATCCTGGGTTAAATTAAAGAAAAAAAAAAAAAAACTTTAAAGGATATAATTGTACTAAGATAATTGGTAAAATTTGAAAATGGACCATATAATAGATAATACTACTTTATAAGTGTTAAATTTCTTGGATATAACGGCAATGTTGTGGTTATGTAGGAAAATGTCCTTTTTCTTAGAAGATACATGCCAAGATATTTACAGGTAAAGTATCATGATGTTTAACAAAGTTTCTCTACATAGGTGTGTGCACCCATGCGAGAGGGTGGGGGAGAGGGTATAGGGGGTGGGAGAGACAGAGAAAGGGCAAACGTGGGAAGATGTTAATTTGTGAACTTAGGTGAAGAGTATTAGAATGTTCTTTGTACTCTTCTTTCAATTATTCTGTTGAAGTTTTCCATATTAAAACGTTGGGGGGAAAATTTAGTTTCTAAATGCTAATGTCATACCCCCTAGCCCAGGACCACACTCCCACGGGGATGCTTTTTAAATACTTGTTGATAATCTTAGTGTCTAAAAGAGGCTCAAAGTGGGACGCTTTCATCTTTTGAGCTGAGGCTATGTCTTTTCTTCTTTTAAGACTACAAAAACATCTGGAAATTCTATTATTTTTAGATAAATATATAAATACATATTTTTATATATATATTATATAATTTATATAAAATATAAATTTTATATAAATATAACATTCTTTTATATTTATAGAGTATTTGGCTAGAAGGATGATAAAAATTAAAACTGTAAATCAAAAAGAGTAAAAGTTGAACTTTCATTTCTTTGCTTGGGTGGCCTCAGTGGAAACTACATTTATCAGAGTTCAACTTTACCTTGCTTTGTCTAAAGTCTTCTGTTCCTCAATCTTCTGTTCAGCATCCTTCTCAGCTCGATTTGAAACTCCTGCATTCTCTTTGCTCCAGATACTTGGTTTCTGGAGAATAATTTAAAAAGACAAAACAGAACCACCAAATATGATTGTAAAACATTTCTACTTGTACATCAGAAGACAAAAAAGAGAGATCATTAGATGTTATGAATCAATGGAGATAACCAGATCTTCCGACAGCCAACTTACGTACTGCAAATAAAGTGTACATGGCAAAGCTGGAGATAAAAAAAAAAAAAGGGCCAGCTGAGTGGCGCGATGGTTACGAGCTGGCTTGGGACGCCAGAGGGCCCCGGTTCGGATCCCACATATGAGGGCCAGTGACACTGCCCTCTACAGCTAAGATGCTGAACAACAGCTCAACCTGGAGCTGGGCTGCCGTGAGTCGCCGGCGACAGCGTAGGCTGCAGCCCTTGTGGCAGTGGGTTGCCATGGACTACTGTATGTAGCCAGCAGCCAGCGTGAGCGGCCAGCTGCCGCAGTGAGCGGCCGTCCAGAAGCCGGCGACTGATCTGCCTCGCCCGAGAAGAGCGCAATGATGGTGCCAACTTGGGCCAGTGAAGCAACGTCCTCCACAACTAGACTGAAGAACAAAACGACAGCAACTTGTCTGTTCCCCTTCCCCCAATTCCCCAATAAAATCTTAAAAAAAAAAAAAAAAGCCCTAAACCGTATAAAGAATCTCTTTATATAATTGCATAGTGTTACTTCTCTATCTTTTATCTCCTGAATGATTATAACCTAATTCAAGACTCTAATGAAAATGTATGTATTACAAAGAATTTGTAATACAGATAGTAGATACATTACCTATAAAATTGGAAAACCATTCACAGCTCTTAAAGACCTTGATATTTTTTACTATATTTCTATATTATCTGTTTGTCTGTTTAGATTTAAAACATCTACGTAACTAGAAAATCTTCCATTAGAATGCAACAAACCACTTATTTATAACATGTACTTTTCCAAAAAGAAGTGCTAAAGAATTAGGACATTAAAATGTGCTTTTAAGTAACCTTACTAATTTCTAGACATTTCATGTAGATGTTCAAATACAAGACACAGGTTTTTTTCCTTAATATTTATATGTAGCAGATGCCACAGACACTTTCAAAAAACCTAAGTATGGTACAAATCCCCATGTTTGGAATCAATGGAGATAATTAGATCTTATTTTTACCTTGTTAGTTGTTTTTGGTTTTCCCAAAACTCCAGAATCTTTTAGAAGTTTTTCTTGTTTGAATTCTTCTTGTTTTCGGAAGAGTTCAGCCTTAAGGTCTACCAACTAGAATAAAACCAAAAAACAAACAAAAACATTTAATTCTATGAGTGATTGGATTTCTAAGTTATTATAATTCTCAAAGCAAGATTTAAAGTTCCTATAAATGGACAAAAATGGATACAAAATTAAATGTTTACATGTAGAATCCAGTACAAAACAAAACCAAGTCATATTTCATCCCAGCTCTGTTGGAAATGTATTTCTAATCTAACTTTCATTACTCAAAGGCTTTCCTCTAGGCAGAGTGATAAACCAAAGTAAATGAAATCTGCACCTTTTAGATTCAAATTCAACTAACATTATTAAACACCTTCTTTCTGATTGGCACTGTTCTTGGCTTTTCCATAAGGTGTAACCTCACTTAATCATCAAAATGTATTACTTCTACAGAAAAATGTCTGTGTTTAGCAACTATCTGAGTACACAGTATGTGCCTGGCACTTAACACTGAAGAGTAGGATAGATACGTGAATTAGACATACCCTTGCCTCAAATGGAGCCCACAATCTAATAAGAAAGATAACTTATAATACCAATAAGAAGTAATAAATGCTTTAAGAGTGGAAGAAAGTAGCATATAAGTTCAGGTAAGAGAGCATTTCCTTTTGTCCAGAGTGATTACAAGAAGCTTTGAGCTGAATTTCAAAATAGGCAGATTTCAACAGCCAGAAATAAAGTGGACTGAGTAAATAAGAATGATTCCAAGTTTGTCTCAGTATGTTTTAGAAAGTTTAACTCAATCAAAGGGATAAAGAATGGGAAAGGCCGGGACAAGGGAAACAGGACAAATGAATGAATATCTATTGCTAGCCCTCAGCTGTATCAGTCTACACTGTCTACTCTGCAAAAAAGGATATAATGACAGTTTCTTTTGTAAGGATCAGGCACTGCTGCTTATACACATGGGCATTTGTAAATTGTAACTTATAAAGCCCAGCGTCATGGACTGACTGTTAAGGGAAATCAAAATGACTGAGTTCAATGATTTGTATTTTGGAAGAAATCAATTTAAAAGCAGCCTTAGAAGGAATTTTAATAATGCAAACGGCAGTTCGTCCCAGGACCTAATAATCTAAAATTTAAAAAAACGAACAAAAAACTTTCACCTGGGCCGGCCGAGTGG